AAACTGCAGTTTAATTACTGACTTGTTACTATGGTGTACAAAATTTTCACTTTGCATTTTTATTTCTTAGGACTGCCTTTAGTATTGACGCTAAAAACAATAAGACGCATTTACCTCGCCTGTACTTTAATTCGCCATTTATTATTTGTTTTCGTGTTTTGCTGTAATAATAAATAACCCGTTCAACGTGTCGCAAAGACGCAGAAATTCTGGTGCATTCCTCAGAATTAGGCTTGTAAATTCCTGAGTACCCCAAATGATGTCATTTATCTGGAGCCGGTAGCCTATGTGTGGACAACGTGTCTGGCGCCTGTCTGAAGAGATGATGGCGTTCTTGTGGAGGGTTCCCCAAACATTCGCGCTGATAACGGGGGATTCCCCACTCAGTTACTCGTGTGCGCAGAAATGTGTAAAGTGTCCATTATTGTCATCCGATTTTACCGAAGTATGAATGTACAGACAAACAAAATTCTCCTTATAAAACTTAACGAAACTTTGATCCGTGACTCCAGACTAGTAGACAGACGAAGCTAAAGGGAAATTTCGGGATATTACCACTGTACCATAATCGTTTCCTTCCAAATCCTTTCCAAGTCATTCACTAATCTTCCTATCACCATTGCTATGCAATGAGGTGGTTATAGCGTCTTAAATGTGCCACAAATAAATTAATACAGCGTGTTATTAGCTGATAATAGGTAGAGACAGTCAACTTTGTCTATGCATTTATTTACTGACGCTGTCAGTAGCTAAAACTGTAGACTTACAGTATAGTGTCGAATGGCAGGATAAGTAAAGTAAAGTTTGTCCCGCTACGTGCCGTAAAGGCGCTTGGGGGGAGTGGAGGTATAGCTCCTCTCTTTCTTGACCTCGGCACTAGATGGGGGTGAGTGGTCAGCATCACGCCCCGGCCGGCTTTACCCCCGGGAAAGGACCCCGGTACCCATTGTAGAGGAGGCTGGGTGGGCCCCAGAGTCGGTCTGGACGCAGAGGCTAGAGGAAAAATCCTCTGCCCCCGTCGGGGATCGAACCCCGTTCGTCCAGCCCGTAGCTAGTCACTATACTGACTGAGCTATCCCGGCTCATCGAATGGCAGGATAATTAATGAATAATGAATTGGAAAGAACAAGAAACCTCATCCTTGATAGCCGGTCTGCGGGCCGAGGTTTGAATTAGAGACCTTCCGAACACGGAGTGCTAACCACTTGGCCGCAACTTTGGGTATAACGCTGTGTTATGGGTCGCAGTCAGGGTCACTTGATTTAGGTAAGTTGTCTTGGCATGGAACCACAACAGGTCTTAACGGCCTTGGTCCGAATTCCTTACAGGATGATAGTGGTGATGATGAGTTTCTTCTCCTTCAACCGTTATCACCGTATGACACACTGATGTCACGTAATTTGTTTACGTCAACCACAACAGCGGAACACTCTCCTTCGGTTTCGTGGTCCAATCCTACCGGATCCTATTAATCGGACATAGCACTTGCGACTGGAATTAACTAACCATCGCTTGCAGAAGTCCGGCAGAAAGAAGTAATTAACACATTTGACAAGTACTTCTCTCTTGCATTTGCCCAACGAGCAGCCTATAAAAGAGCCCGAACCAAAGAAGAAAATAGTATTGTAACGACAATGAATATGTTCACGATTTGGTTATAAAGAACTAGATGACCTTGACAAAAAACAAGTAAACAAATCTTTCCACGTGTGACGTGGTCAAGATAAATACCGTACAGGTTCCATAATGTTTGTGCCTCAAAGAGTGTTTCTGTAAATGGTGTTGCATCCAGTGCCCTGTAATAACAGTTTGTGTTAGTGGAACAGACCTGTTTAAATTAAATTGGAGTTCTTTCTCTCTTCATCCTTCACCTAATTCAGTCTTCTTGTCTCTTTCGTACCTTCATCTTATTTAGAAACACATCTAAAAGGATACAAAAAGTCTTCCTAAGATCTATATAATGGTAACAGCGTTTGTCTGTGATCTAACGTCATTACTTGGCGCCAGATCTTGATCAGTCACGAATAACACACACTAGGGTTATGCATTTTTTCTTGCTTCGTTGTATCAACAAGAGAGAGAGAGAGAGAGAGAGAGAGAAGCTGGGGATAATCGTTCTGATTATAGCGGCAGCAAGTACCTTCTTAACGTTGGTAAATTTGTACCGGAGTACAACCCAGAAGAGAGCCATCTTCATACTCGCTGCCGTGAGAACATAAATACAGTGTGTCCGTAAAATAATGGTGGGGTAACAAACAGTCATAGTTTTGGAACAAAGCACGATAGAGACATGAAATAAACTTCAAAATAAAGAGAAACTCTCCAAGAATCTTACCTGTTCAGTAGATTTCGATATGCGCTCCTTTAGTTGCCCTACAGACATCAAGACCATATTCAAGCTCTTGCCATATACGACCGAGAACATACGGTGTGATACGAGATGAAACATCTTCAGCGATCCGTTCTTTCAAATGGTCCAAATTTATTATTTGGATAGAGAACACTTGTTGCTTCACATAAACCCTTCAAATAAAAATCCATAGGGGTAAGATCTGGAGAGCGTGGAGGCCAGGCTATCCACCCTCCTCGTCCGACCCATCGCTGAGGAAATGTTTGGTTTAGGTAATCCCGCACGAATGTGGAAAAATGTGGAGGAGCTCCATCTAACTGGAGAATGAAATTCTCAACTTACTTAAGTCAACAAAATCTCACAGTGATATAGATCAGTGTTATCATGTTATATATTTGAGATAATTATGTTGTACCGCTTATATTAATAACGTCCTTTAACTGGTTAATTAGATTTTAACGACCACTATTTGAACTACAGCGGTTATTCTGTTTTGTAAAAAAAATTATGGACTGGAAATAATCGAGGCGCATTTTTATGGTATCGATGCTTTGCGATCTCTCATGTTACGCGGAAGTCATGAACCATCGTTGTTCATTGGTTCGTAATTAGTTATTTGAAGATTACGTTTCGACTACGGAGGTTACTAGCTTAAAAACTGGAGGTAAATGTGAATGCTCAGTGGATAAGAATTTAGAAGACAGTTATAGTTTATCTTAAGATACTGTCTCTGAATTCGCACGGAAATACAGGAATACCAAGAAATCCTTGTGTCAGGGCAGCTGGTAACTTATGATAGAAGTAGGTACCTCTTAAATGCAAGTCTAGGTCGTCACGTTTTACACCAACCTGCCTGGCTGGAGCAATGATTCTCAGCTTGTGAGTTACGCACGTGCTTTACATTGACTTTAGGACTCGTTTTCAAGCATAAGAGATGTTATATTTGCAGTTACGTTTGCTGGCATTACTGCATGAATTCGAAGGTCTGCAGCGTTTCAATATGCTTTAATTCGTCACAAAAACATTTATATATACCTTCAGGTATATATAAAAACATTTATATATACCTGAAAGGACAGAGGAAAATCATGTCAGTAAAAATTGATAGCGTTCGGGATTTCCGAGTGGTAATCAAACGTATAAGACAGATCAGGATTGCAGTAGAATGGAATGACAATATGTAAAACTGTTCTTTTGGACATTGTCCGTCGTCCAAACAGAAAATTCACATCACAAAATTGCGACATTTCTTTAGCTAAATTCTGCCTTTGACTTAGGTTGACCTAGCCTCAAGACCTGGTCTAAGTACGTGTAATTATAAGATTAAAACTTTTTGTAAGTAATTTTCTGATCGTAGCAAGAAAGTTGATTTTGCTGAATACCCAATTGACGTATTTTACCACTTTTTTATTATGACATCAGTAGTAACATTGTGATGCCCCTTGATTTGTTGTTATTGAAGTTTTGAGTATCTATATTGTAGTGTGTACATAGAGGGTTTTTACTACAAGGCTTTCTTCTTGTATTATTTTCTATTACACATTTTGATAACCTTGTCGAAACCTTTGTCGTGTCCGGAAGTAAGGATATTTGAAATTCAAGATACATTCTTCTTGCAGCATCGAAAATTCGATGATATAATTTCTCTCTTCTGTGTACTCTGCTTTTATACCCCATGTTTTGTGGAAATATAGGGGAGTGAGATATGGTGATTGTAGTGGCCAATACTATGGACCACCACGACCAATTCATCTGTCTAGAAACTGCTCATTCAGGTACTCCATCACGTGTTGACGGAAATGTCGAGTGCCCCGCCACGCTTGAGGTCCATCTGTAAACGTGTTCTGAGTCATTTAAGAATGAACCGTGGTCTCTCTGTGTAGGAAAATAGGACCACTCCAACACCAAGGTTACAGGTTTAGAAATTTGTTGGAGGCGTGGATAATACGCCCATGATTTTATACCCTATAGAGTGCAGTGCAAGCATTATATAAAATGTCTGGTGACTTTATATCACCACTTCGAAGTCTTGTTGCTGGGGTCATTCCAAGTCACAAACGCCGTAATGCTAGTAGTTCCGATTCTCAACGATTAAGGATCTGCTGATATTTGAAATTGAATATGATTTGAATCGTACGTATATATTATGGCGTCAACTTAATTAAATCTATCCAAGGTCTAATTACGTCGTCGTCGTCGTATACGTCGGTCAGGGGCACATGCGCCAATTGACGGTAGAAGATTTTGCTTCAGGCCCGCTAACGTGAAAATCCGCTTAGTATTCTTAATTGGTACGATGTTAATATGTACACAATAATAATTTGTTTATTTTTGCATTAAAAATCTATGTTCATACTCCGAATAGTTCGCTTTTATGATGGCATTGGTTTTAAAGAAGTAAATATCTTAGGTTCATGTAATTTAATACTTTTCAGATCTCTGATTATATATAAACCATTAATATGACTCCTATAACATAAACATGTCACTAGAACTCATATTATTTTACTGTATAATCTCTGTTAATTTGCACAAAGTAAAACATATTTTTCAGACGATGATTCTATACTAATCAAAGTACTAAGCAAATTGACACCGCAACATAATTTTCATGTAGGTCTACTTTAACGTGATAATTATTTCTTTTCAGATTGAAGACTTTCGGCGCTACGTAGAATGGTAGAAACTGAACTGGGCCGAAAGGATCATCCGAGTAAGGAAATTTATTTTCGTACAGTTGCTTAAAATCATTCCATCAAATAAATCAGGCTAAATTGCATTGGTTGTAGCACCCAAGCCAAATGAATGGAGGTAATCTGAAAAATGTAAGAAAGAAACTAGTAGAACATCAGAAAATATTCAAAGAATTTAGTTGTTTACATGATCAGTAAACATTTCATTGTGTTGGATTAGGTTTGTACTTGTACTTTATAAGTTGCACATATCACAGGGTTGGCTTAGTCAAAAAGACTTTGTTTCTTTTGCCCATATTAGTCACACACGTTCATTATGTTACATTTCAAACAGGAATACACCAACGTTCTAGGATTATTCTGTTTAAAAAAGGTGGGATTAATTAAGCAAGTCTTTGACACTTGATTACTTTTGCCAGAATTGTGGTAATTAGTTGCTAAAACATTGAAACCTCTAGAACCATTAAAAGATTAAAACAGAAAGTTCAAGTCAAGGTCTGGCTGAAATGAGATGTGGTTCTGATCTTCTATAGTAGAATTTTTCACAGTTGCAGAATCAGAAACTCCTGGGTGCTATGGGATTGTAATGATGATAAGCTGCAAACTGAGATTATTTAAAACACTGAGAGATCCCTGCTAATTAGCACGAACTATAGAAAAGAATTGTTTGAATAGGACTTTAAAGTTTTTTGTTAGTTATACATTGTATTATAGATAATTAACAAGCATTTCGTGAGAAGGTTTGATCAGTGAGATTTGAGGTTTTCACGGCGATGAGTATGAAGATTTCTGTCTTCTGGGTTGTTGCGCTGTGTTGTATGGTCGATGTTTACCAACGTTTCAGAGGTCATACTGCCTCCGTCATCAGGGCGATTGGCGAAGACAGAAATCTTCATGTTTGATCAGACTTGAGTATAAAGAAACATTCAAGATTCTTGCTGTAAAATATAATATGTTCTTATTTCAGCAGGTGATGTGAAAGACAAACAAGTAAACGGTAGCTCCAAAGACATCGAACTTAACGGTAATTACACTCGGCATATCTCAAAGTCTTTCATCATAAAGGACAAATTATATTTCGAGCAATTGTAATGTTGCTTTTCATTTTGTTGCTTCTTTTAATATGAGTTACAGAAAGTAGAATCTTATCTCATCTGTCGTTCTGTGGCATTACAAATAACAAATATGATATCTGTATTTAAGTTTTTCTTTTTTACAGTAACTCTACCAACAACCAGAAAGCGTGACATCGAAAAAAGCAGTAACTTTGAGAAAGCTGGCTTTGAAAAAGCAATTGAACTTACAGGTAAGTTAATATACGCATCTGATAAGATTAATATATTAATGCTAGTAACATTTCCATCCAACTTCTCATATTTGAATGGTCTTAAACAAGAAGTAATTTACTAGAGGGAACTATACTTGTTACATAATTGTATTCAGATTTCTGTCTTCTGGGCTGTTGCGCCGTGAATCGCCCTGATGACGGAGGCAGTATGACCTCTGAAACGTTGGTAAACATCGACCAGACTACACAGCGCAACAACCCAGCAGACAGAAATCTTCATACTCACCGCTGTGAAAACCTCTCATCGCCCTGATGACGGAGGCAGTATGACCTCTGAAACGTTGGTAAACATCGACCAGACTACACAGCGCAACAACCCAGCAGACAGAAATCTTCATACTCATCGCCGTGAAAACATCAAATTTTACAATTGTATTTAGGTTTACAATTTGAACAACTTCATTGACGAGCTAATGAAAATTAACATAAATCTTAATGTAAGATTCAGTCTTGAGAAACTGAGGTGTGCTCGCATTACACAATATTACATTATAGTTTTTGGAAATGACCAGCGCTCTTATAAGATCCATCTTAAAACTGTGTACTATTTCAGGGTACGGAAAATTCCATTACTTTCTGCTGACTACATGTGGTTTTGTGAGTACGAGTGAAGAGATGGACGTAATCTCCATGTCATTCATTCTTCCATCAGCACAGTGCGACTTGAATTTGAATACGCATACAAAGGGCTGGCTCAACTGCATTATCTTTATAGGTAAGAAATGTGTATACTTTGTCAAGATGGAATTTTGCAACAGTGTTGTGTGATAAGTAACACAATGTGTAAATTAATGTTGAAATATTCCTGTCATTATTTCAGCATGTATTTCAGCTTCAATTTATACATGGACTTAATATACGTACATCGGTTTGGGGATAATGATTTCTCAGGAACAGCCAGAAGATATTTTTCTTTCAAAACATGTTCATAAAATAGTTAAATTTTTAATGCAGCTTATATTACAAAATAATTTCACTCGGAATAATGGATGATACTGTTTTAGTTATAAAAAATGAGGCTTCTCAGTAACTAAATCAAAACTTGCATTCATTGTGAGAATTCAGAAGGTGTTGAAATGAATGAGCAGTGTTTGGTATATATGTAAATGAACTCTGACAGTCTCATAGCTAATGAACACTGTGGATCATTTATTCTGAATAAATATGAGGCTAATGGATAACAAATTATGCTCTGCGAAAAGCTGATAAATTAAAGTAAATATAGTTCTCATCTCTTTTACTGGTATAATTCCCTTAAATGGAAATGAACACTTTTGTAATTATATGCCAGAATTAACATAAAAAGTTACTCTTAATTGCATTTTAGAACGGTTTTGTTAAAGCATGTGAATGCTGTTTTGTATTTAAGGTATGATGGCTGGTGCATATGTATGGGGCTCAGTGGCAGATTCCTTGGGTCGAAAGAAAGTGCTGATTGCGATATCAGTAATGAATGCCATCTGCATAGTTGCCTCCAGCTTTTGTCAGACATATGAACTGTTTATGCTATTCAGATTTCTCAATGGAGCTGCGTAAGTAAATAAGAATAGTTGGTTGTCACAGGCTTGTATTTGCCATTGGAAGTATTCTAAGTTTGTTAATGATTGTTAATGATTTCAGATAGCAAGAAATGACTGCCCAGAACTAGTTACTGGTTTCTGTATGAACTGCAAATTCTAGTATTAGTATATGAATAGTTCTGTATAATAGTGCTGAAATTAAAAAACAAAAAACAAAGGTAGATGTTTCACACAGGGTCACCAACAAGAGAATAATTTCTCTGACAGTAACAAGATGTTAGTTTAAAAACTTTAAAAGTAGAAATAAGAATCAGAACAGTGTCAAGATATAAAAGTAGCAATCAGTTAATAAAATATGATGAAGCTGGTAGTACTGTAGGGTGGCAGCAAGTTTACTAACCTAACATCACTATGCTAAGATAAAGTACCTGTGCTTCAGTATTATATTATGAAGAATTATGGGGAAGTGGAGGTGAGGATCCATGCATTTTAACCTTGCCAGCAGGCCTGCACTGTGTTACAGATTATTACATAAAATGGATATGCATATGAAAAATCGTTTCTTGGAACGAATAAAATATCTTACCTTTTCTGTTTCAATCTCAGTTACTTGTTCAAATTTATAGGCAAAACCTTGGAAAAGGTGTCTTACGAAAAGTAACAACTTTACAAAATAATACCCCAATGTTACTGGATACTGGGAATGACCCGTTCTTCAAGTGCCTCAGCACTGCAGGTCCCAACTTTTTCGTTGGCTTTATTTGTAGACATTCGGTAGGACTCCTTGGACGAGGGATTGGCCCGTCGCAATCTACCTGTACACAGGACTGACAGACACAGAAAAACGTGGACAAACATCCATGGCTTGAGTGGGATTCGAACCCATGGTCCGAGCGTCCAAGCGGCACAAGGCCCACGCCTCACACGGTGCGGCCACTGCGGACCCCACCCCAATGTTACACATTCTTTAAATGAACACTATATTCCATTGTATATGCAGTAGTATGTTCACTTTCATTGCTTGTAAAAGAAAACTATTTGTATTTGTTGAGAACTAGGTATACCACACTTTGATGTAATGTATCAAGGAACCAGTACATACAATGAAACCTGTTATAATGGAACTTGATGGAACAGGATTTCTTCCATTGCAAACCGGTTTTTGCTTGATACAGGCAGTTACTGCTAAATTAAAGATTTTTGTCCAGATACATGCCTCATACACAATATCGTATTTACACCTGATGCATAAATGGATGACATTTTAAACTACATGATATATATAGTTTTAATTTTCCCAATAGTACAATA